AAAGGTTATCACGTGACGTCAGGGTTGTTCAACCGATCATGGGTGGTACACTTTATTTTTGTGGAGCCCACACGTACGCTAGATAAACGACAGTGGATAGCGCGCTCTGATTCGCTGAAAAAAAAAGAAGAGGTTGTCTTCCGATTTGACGGGGTGAATTAATTGAACTGAACTCAGGAAGAAGCCGCGCAATCAAGATATATTTGTCAATTTTCCCGTATTCTCCGAAGAATTCTATTTACAGACCCAAGCAAGAATCTCCGCAGGTTTTTTCGATATATGCGTATGTGTGCCCCCCTTTAAGTATTGCTCCGTAAGGGAGGTTCCGTCATTTTGGTCTGAAAATTGGTGCGTGTTTTAAGCAGGCCCAAACATAGCGCATAACAGGTTACTCTCAAGCTCTCTAATGGGAAAAGGAAACTTGACTAAATCTCCATTTGGCAGGTATCAGATCAGGGTTATGTTCACAATATACCAGAGAGCTTTTGCGCCGACACGAACACTAAACCGAATAGAGCTTCTATATATTCACACACAGTAAGGAGATGATTTCAGCGCAATTTCCGAAACAAAGCCAACCGTGGCAGGATTAGCTCACTCGGTAGAGCGTTTGACTACAGAGCGGAAGGTCGCGGGTTCGATTCCCGGGGCCGGACCATTACTCAGGGTCTTAAAATGACTGAGAAATGAAGGTACTTCCTTTGCACTGCAAGCGGCGAGACCTTCGCGTGGCTCGGATGACCACGTAAATTGGCGGTCCCGTCTCCATTGGGAGACGTAAAAATAGTGTCCCCAATTAGCACTTTCGTGCTAAATACATTGACACTCAAATAAAAAGTGCAAAAAAAAGTGTAAGCGAAACTGCGCTGTGCCAACCTCGAAAGTGGAGTGTCCGACGCATATCGGATAGGTTTCGTGCCACAAAGGCGTGCCACACTTTGGTGCAATGTAAACAGGTATTCGAATAGCAGGGAAGCGAATAAATAGGAGCAAGAACTGGAAGGCAATGACGCGAAAGTAAGAGTGATTTTCGTATGATCTTGAAATGAAACCGCGCGAACAAAACAGAAACAACAAACGAACGAAAATAGAGCAGTTTGATTGGTTTATCGAACGGATACAAGGCACGTGGCTTTTGGTTGGTTAAGCGAACGCTCGGGTGAAAATACTTCATGCCCGAGAACTTTCCAGAAATCAATGGATACTTCGCTTTGACGTCGTACTGCAACACGATTGGCCAATCGAACAATGCCTTCTCCATATTAGGGTTTTTCTTTGGCGGGAAAACGGAGAGTGCATGTTTTGATCTTAATTTTCATGTAACGAACTTTTGCGAAACTATTTTTCAAGGTTATAAGAAAATCGTTCTATTTAGAAGTGAGAACTGGGATTTTATGCACCAAAACCTCTCGGCCAACCGCTCCGGCACGATGTTCGATTTGTGTGAAGCAGTTTAGGTCAATGGCTGCTGCTGTTCACTTTCTATCGGTTAGCTTTTCGACAGTGCAGAACTTATACTTGTTTTCAATCACCCCTGGAACAAATTTGACAAGAACGCATTGCATCCCGCATCACTCCCATTGTCGATTGATGACTCCCAATGTCAAGACGATTATGAGGTGATTCTTTAGCCTTGCGTTAGCCTGCGAAAACAGCCGTCTCGGCGAGGAGCGAGGAGACTGCTATTTTCGCAGGTTAGCTTTACGAGTACAGTGTGGACCCTTGACTGAGCTCTGTGAAAAAGCATAACAGAAACTTAGAACTTATAAGGATCCGATTCTCTTGAGCTTAGAAAATAGCGCTACTTTTGCAACGTTTTAGACTAATTGTGATTTTAACAGACCGCCTAGCCTGTGCCAGGCTCTCAGATAGTGGGGACGTATTAAAACGTAACGAGCAAAGCGAAATTAAGACTTTTCACCGCTATCTCTGAGCCTGGAACAGGCTATAGCTACAGACCGCCTGACAGAAGTCATGGTGGAGGGGTAAGGTAGGTAAAAAACGCGAAGAGGGAGGGAGAAAGGAACCCTCATCGTCATTAATGAATGTACGCTACGCTGCGAACTTCGTCGGTAAATTATCGCAACTAACAAAGCTGGAGAACGCAAAAGGCCGAGGCAGCGTGGCCGAGTGCTCAGCTCGTCGGACTCGCATTCCCTTCTCCAGGGTCCCGCTCTGGCCACTGGCTGGATTTGTTCTCGGTCGTCCCGAGTTCAAATCCTCGGCCACGCTTGTAAATAGCGAACTTGTTCCTTCCTGCCAGTTGGGGTTTTTAATCCTGTTATGTTCAATTTCCTTTATACCAGAATTATTTGAGTGGAATGCCTGTAAACTAGCTGGATAAGCTAGGTATAAGTTCCACTGTAAACAAGCCCCTAAACCTCAAACCTTAAGGACAGGATATATCAGCGGGAGAGAGCGCCGGTCTGCTGAGCGGGAGGTCGCGGGGGGGTTCAAACGTAACCCCGGCCGGACCATCACTTAGGGCTTTAAAATAACTAAGAAGAATGACATCTGCAAACAGATAGACCTATAAAGTCTTCTCGGCCGGTTGAAGGGCGAAAAATCGTAGGTCCCGTCACACAGCCCTTTCACTTATCTGGTTCTTGTAGGAAGTAAACGAGAGCCCATAACACCGTTCGAAATGAGTATGGGACGTAGACCCCGGTGTTGTGGCCAACCTTTCCTGGACCGGGTGGGTTCTCTGTAAGGAGAGATCATTAATATGGGGTAACCTCATAATCCTCCTTCGTAATGGCTACCTGTAAAGAGCGTACGTAATATGTAAAAATCAAAGCTCAAATCATGGAAATTAGAAATAGACACGAAAGACACCTAACTGTAGTTTCAACTTGTTACTGAAAGCAGCCATTACCAGGGAGGCAAGGTTTTCTTAGCCTCTTAGCAGGGGCGCCCAACGACAATTTTCGGAAAAATATCTGTTCGGAAGACGATTTGAGATCTAGAATTTTCGGAACATTTGTTGTAAAATTTCTTGCTTGCCTGCCTCTCTTAGGATTTTCGGACATCTAAAAAATGGTATAATTGCCCATTTTAAACGGATTTTTACCCTAAAAAGGTCACCTAGAATTTTCGGGGGCCTTTTTTCTGGCTAAAATTTTCGAAAAGGTAAGTTTTGATACCTATAATTTTCGGATCACTTGACTTTCAGCTAGGAAATCCGAACAGATGAAAAATTTTTAGGGGATAAAAATATGCCTATATCTACCGTTTAAATACTAAAATACGTTTAACAATTCTATGTTTAAGTGGTTTTGAACTATATTCTCGTTGGGTGCCCCTGTCTTAGTTCCTTCTGGGCTCCTTATCAGCTTATAATTGTATTAATTTGAATTCTGTAAATATCTGATTTGCGGTGGCTAAAAAAAGGCTGAACTTAACATTGCACCGGTCTCAGTAAATATAACACACACTTACAATATCGGCCGAATGTGCCGGAAGCAATACTTTCTTTGATATGCATGCTGTTTGTGACCTTTCGAATGGTATGATAGGGTCCTGTTTCACCGAAGATTACTGTTATGAAGATTCTCTGTTATAAAGAACTGGTCTTAAAGTTTATAAACTGTTGAGAAAAATTCTTCACACTTCTGCATGGTTTCCTAGAGGGTAATGGTTTCGGAAGCAGGGCAGGCCAGAAGCGGAGCTCCAGCATCATTGAAGTTACCGAGAAACAGCAAGTTCCTTAAGCTTGCCTAACGAAAAAGTATATCACTAAGATGGCTATACATTGTAAACTAAATTCACTGATATTACTTTGGTAAGAAGTTTCGTCTGATTACGGCCCTGCTGTGGAAGACAAGCCAGACAAATGCAAAACTACTCAATCCCTCAAGTCTCAGTTTTTTTTGTTTTTTTTTCACACTGTTCCTTTGTAATAATATTTATCCTCATATCCTTTCCTGTGGACAGTGACTTGACAGTTCAAAGAAAAATTACACTCCCGGATATTTAAAAATGTTACATAACTATTTCCTTCCCGTAATAAAATATCTCTTTCCTTATGAAACCGCAAATTTCTTCCTGTTGTACGTCGGGATTTGACCCGCGTTCAGGTCAGTTAGCACGCTTTGTTGGTTCCATTTAGCAATACATTTTTTTATGATGAACAAGGTAATTAAGACTTTGGCGAAATCTTGACATGTTTGAGCATAACGTTCAAGTTAGTAAGTAGAACGGTCACCGTCTAAAATGTCAAAGTTTCACCATTCTTAGTGGTGTGCGTGTAACTTTAAAACTATTAATTTCATTATTAATAAGCAATTTCAAATTTATGGCTGCGGTTTAGCTGGAAATGATGAAATTTTTATCTTACTTTTCAAGCACTATGAAATGATGAATCGATCGCGCGAAAGATAATTATCAGCATGGTTTTCTTAAAAAATATACAGGCAGTGTATATGACGGAACCTATTAGCACCTCCCACCGCTTAAAATACCCTATACACTACAAGTATAGGGAGCTTTTATCACATCATTAACACCGCAGGATGCACTCACCTAGGGTGATGACCTAAATTGCGGTTTGAAGTGTTTGCATAGCATGCGATTACATTTTATTGGCCTATTAGCCACTGTCTTTGCCTCAAATTCCAAGCTCTGATATTATTGGGCTCTAACTCTAGGGGCTCGCAATAATAGAACCACTTATAGATGATCTGGTATTATTCGCCACCTTTAAAAATGAGAATTATGTAGATCATGACTGAAATTTTTTAAAGCACTACGTAGAAGTACGTAAAGATTTCATTTTATCACCAAGGGAGCTGCAAACTCAGAAGATAGGTCACGTATGATAAGGCGCGGCGAGAAGTGCCAAAAGATAATTTCTGGTTTCTGTCAAGGGCAACTGTTGATTATTTAATTCATGCAGTCAACGGTGGTCGGCTTTGGGATTTAAGACCCCGGAAACAAGCACTTGAAGGAAAAATAAACTGTCAATACGCCAAACATAATGCTAGCTTTTTCTCAAAACATTTCCGTTGTAATTGCAAACACGTCAGTGCACAAGCGTGTCCAACCCATATTACCTTTTCCGCAAAATATGCAGCTACTTTAAAAATACACTGTCACAGTACTGATAATATTGGTTCTTTATATTTGTTTCAATATGTTCTTAATTTATATGTCACTGGAAACACCGCGTAATAACATGATAATCAAAATAATCATAATGCTGATGATTTTGTTGATAATGATAATTTTTGAAAAGGACGTTGTTGGTAACATTGACTGACGTCTCAAAAACCTGTGCGGAAGACCATTGTGTGATTTTTTTGAGAAGCGAATTTGAAAATTGTATAGAATTTCCGCTATACAAATTCATTATTGTTATTATTTTTATTAGGACAAATTCATAGTGTAGTGGTGACGACTTCCGCACAGGTTTTTGAAACATCAGACACTGATGTCCTCGGGTCTTGTACCAAATATTTAAGACTATGTTCAAATTATACCAGGTAGCCTTTGAGTTGGCACTAAGACCATACCAGATGGGCTTTATGTTCAGAACGGTGATTTCGGCGGGAAAGTGGAGAGTCACATATCGAATAAGTGTTCACACAATGCGGGTGGTGTTTCGTGTCGACACGAAAAGCCACCGAGTATAGCGTGAAAACAGCGTAAGACAACACTGACTCTCCCGGACAATCATATATTTTTACCCGAGACATGGGTTCCAAATATTAACTGGAATAAGAGAAGCCTAAGCCCGTGGCCAGAAATGTTTCACTCCTACTGTCTACTGCAGAATCCCATGTTATTGAGCAAAGAACGAACTTAACACAAAATTTTCTAACTTGGCCAAACCATGCAAGAGTTTTGCTCAACTCGCTAGGGCCAGAGTCCAGCGACTTTCTCTTTCCTGTAGTTCAGTCAGCCGAAAATGTGTTATTTAAGTTGCTGCGATCTGGAGAAACCTGCTTATTAGCAACATTTTTCACTTTTGCTTTATTTTTCCGTAGTTTTCTCCTGCAGCACTCCTCGAAGCAGCGTTTTTGTGATGGTTCCTTTGTCTTGCACAGCATCAAACGTCGACGGAATCCAAGGGACGTGTGAAGTGAATTAGCAGCATCCATTCTACCCGCCTGTGTGTCCTGTGTGTTACTGGGCAGCCTGTATTTCAGCCTATGGCTGACAGACGTGTGGTGTTCTAGACCTCGTGACAGGGCTTCGATGTTACAGGTGTACATGGCTGGATAGGAGAGGCGAACGGCTTTCCGTCCCAAATTGCAGCACAACATCGTACGATTGCAAGCTGCCACCCCCGCGTCTACATTGGACATGCAAAGGAAAACAACAATATCAACAAAATTTTTAGTGGTCAAGTTATTTAACTTCAGAATACTCAGGCAAGCTTCATTTTGAGAATAACTACCCAGTCACGCACATAAATGACACTTTTCGTTAAGTTCACTCAACAGAGAGCAAGTCAAAATGTCAGGCATTTGGGCAATTTAAAAAATCACTGCGTGAACACGGAACGTGACTACTGTCCCCTCAAATGAGGGAAAACAGTTGCGGCTAGATATCAATCTAGCTAGCAAACCTTGACACTAATCGTTGATCTCGAAATAATGAGGCTGTTATTGAACCACCCCGATGCTATACAGTATATATTCTTTGATAAAATATAATAATGTCAGTATCAAATACAATGATGTATTTTCGGTAACAATGCATAAGCCACTTGTACTAACAGATTATTTCGAGGGACAAAATCAAGTCGAAACACATTTTTTTAAAACGGTTGGTCACTTTTATCACTTAAGAATAGTTTTGAGTATTTATCAATCATTACCTTTTGTTCTCCTTTCACTGTTAGACTGGTAATTTTGAATCAGGCCAGCACTGCGTTGGCAATGCGCTCATATTAACTGTATATTGTTTTCACGATGAACAAGCGTTTTTAACTGGTGCACAAAACGAAAATGCAATAACAGATTGAAACCATTTACCTTTATTCCTCCTTGTATCAGCGCGGTTTTGCGTGGGCAAATTTCCGTCGCCTGCCACAGCAAACGCGACAAAAATGAACAATGTAACGCCAACAACAATGGCTCTGTCCATAGTTCTTTACATCACTAACTTGACTCCTGTTCCGTCAGCAAATACAGACCGTGGGCACTACACGAACAAGTCTTTAAAAGAACCTGATAGTGTCAGTCGCAATTCTGGAGGGACTCGTGCTTCTCTTGCAAGCTTAGAAGTCTTTCAGAACAAAAGAGAGCGCTTCGAAATCTCCGTTATGTCTTTCCCGAGGGTGGATGAACTGTGTTCGGAGATCTGTTGCAACCACAAACGACCTTTTGAGCTTTTTGACTCTCTGCTGTGGTACAATGAGCTCTAGACTATATTGGCGGACGCACGATGATCCGATGTTGATGTGCTGTTTTTAAGAGTGATTATCGATTGTGGGGGATCGCGACAGCAAAACAAAACGATTGACGTTTCGACAGCCAGTGGTCAACCCTGCGCCGGCCCCCTTAATTTGCTGTCCCTCGAGCGCGCGCCAAATTCTCCCAATCCAGTATACAGGAATGGTGCGATGTATACGTCTGCTTCCAAGGAAGCGCTGTTGCATGACCCGTGACGGACTAGCTGCAGAAATCATGCTCGTCATTCTGACCTGAATAAACGTTGAACATGAAGTTCCCAAATTGGCATATGAAAGTTGGTGCGGTTCACGTGACGTAAAAGGGGTCGTAAAAACATCCTCTTCGTCTGCCGGTCAACCTGACTAGCATGAAGTATTTACAAACAAACCCACATCTATGGAAACAATTATGTCATCCATAAACTGTGAAATATTGATTCAGCCTTTTGTTATGAAAGAGAGTTAAGGAAAAGTAATGAAAGTAGCGAGCTTGTCCAAAGGCGGGGCACCTAGAGCAACAAGTCCTCGTGAAGTGGATTTGTAGTAATACATCTTCCTTCTCTAAAATCATGCCGAAAAGTGCTATAAATTCCGTATAACTGGGAAGTATGATCAACGGAGGAGAACAAGTTCATTATTGGAGGTCCGATAAGACTCACGCCACTCGCGAGACAATGGATGGAATTATGCGGGATTCCTGAATTCTTTTCGAGACAAAAGCGCTCAATCCTGTTTGTCAGTGTTAGACTACTGTCTCTGACACTTTTAAACAATAAATACTTAAATAATCGCTCAATTTCGGCTGAAATTTACATAAAACAAATCCTTTCCACTTGCTGACGCATTTCTAAGAGGAGGCGGGCTGGGGGGTGTGAGTAGTCTAGTTAGCAGTTAAGCAGCGTGTGGACTTTCAAACAATATACAGTGTGCGAGAAAAAAAATATAGACCGCTGCGGAAGCCGCACAGAAGAGCCTTAAGAATATCTGAAGTAGAAGAAGGAGCAATACCGTGTTAGTAGGAAAAGTGCAGGATCGAGGAAAGTGGCGTGAAAACCGCGTGGGCTGTTTTTCGCCCCCTCGTTTTTAAGTTCTTCTGCTCTGACCGCGAGAGCCTGGCACAGGCTAATGTATGTACAGAAAGGCTGGATCAATTTTACGTCGTCACGATAAGGATCCTTGTTTCTCGAAAGAAAGACAGCAAGATTTAAAAATAAATCAAAGCCTCCGGTCCTGTGATCCAGCCCATGGATGAAACGGGTTAGTGTGAAAAAGTTAATTAAATTAGGACAAGATTTGGTGGGTTTTGAGTACGTATGGAAGTTATTTAGCAAGAATGGAAGCTCTGTTAGCGATGAAAGTTGGGCCAGTAAGCGACGTGTGGACAAAGGTTTCAAAAAGGTTGATATAAAAAGGCAGTCTATGACTGCATGTGGCCACTGCTTTACTTTTGTAGACTGATTACTGTTATAAAAATATGCAATGATGTACTAAAAATACGTGTCTGACTTAACCTAACAAAGTTCAGGAAATGGGCAAACATTAGGAATCAATGGACAAAAAGCCAAGGAAAAGGGGAAAGAAAAGAAAAATAAAAAAGTAGTAAGAGAAAAAAAGAAAAAAGAAAGAAAAACTTGCCGTGGTCGAACTCATATCTCAGGCACCACAATTCACCCTCACCACAAGGCCAAGAGTCCCACGAAAGATAAAGTCCCACAGCTAAGGAATGAAAATTCTTTTTCTTCTGTGGACATTCTGCCGTAAAACGTCGCCTGAAGCTCTTTGATAGTCGAACCGACACATGGATTCAAAGATAGATTTCAAGAAAGTATTAAAGGTTTTGATGGAAAAAGATCGAACTTAAACCCAGTCTCATCGCATTTGAAGAACATGTGGCAGACACAGATGGCGAAAAGAAGTTCGTCTACATGTCGCTAAACCCGGTTAGAATCACGGCAGGGTTGGTGTTACACGCGCAATTCGTCCAAATAATAATGATTTTTCGCAGCTAGTATTGTTAGTGTTCTTTGGCCTAATAACTTCCTATAGCATGGAAAACCATCTTTAACCCCCAATAATCCTAGACGCACTCAGTTGCATCTACTGAGTCTACTCCAAGGAAAAGAGCAACAGGGGAAGTAGGAAAAAAATGGTTAATTCAAGTTTAATGGATAAATTAATGAGAATCGAGTGACTGAGTGGTATTCAACTGCCTCCAACAACTCATGAATGAATGACTGTGTCATCCGTGAACTTAAGAAGGGTTTTTTGACTGCCACACGAGACCTGCAGCCCCTCAGATCTTATGATGACGCCTTGATATTACCATAGGGTTTCGTTGACCAACATGAATTTTCTCCTTGCATTATCAGTACATCATCAAAAGAAAAGGTTATGACATTTAATAAAATGATCCCCTCAAGGATAATACTGTGATCTTTTATCAAATTCTCTTAACTAATTCTTTAAGGAAATGTATGGAGATCAGTTTGGAGAATTTGTAAATGGATATCGAGCTGGAGTCATTTAATGCCTTTACCCTTGCACACAGTGCTCCTGTAGAGTAATGAAGAAGATATCAAACAAATTTCATAAGGGATCGAACACTAAACACTGTTAATTTTTTGGTGGGTTTTGCACGCATTGCATTTAACCTTGAAAAAGTTGGCCCAACGTTTTCAAGTTTGAATGGATGTCCATCCTTGCCATCCGCTGCAACAGACGACAGGAAACAATTTCAATCCCTAAATATAGCCTTAAATAACATAACTGGGCTTTTATTTTGAAATTCAATTGATGAGAGAAACGTTTTAGCTTTTTAAACCCCTGAGAAGAGTAACTGACAGCGTGATTATACTGGCAATCCCTTTAAGCTACAAGTAAATCAGTGTGTGTAATGTGTATACACATATGAAGGTGTTGTTATCTGATAACAGAGGCATGGATGTGTAAGGCGGTGGCCAAGTATCTTGACCTAAATCCCAGTTAATCAGCAGCCATTTAGTAGTTCCTTGCTTAAAATGTTGACAGCTGGAAAAAGTGATTTATGACATTCAACGCATTTTTAAGTATATTTAGAACGATTCGGGGGTCTTAAAAGCTACTTTAGTCTGAAGTGCTCCCTAAGATTGATCTTAGTATCACATTAAGAGGAACAAGTGCATTTTTGCTGCAAAGATTTTCTAAGATTTTGAGATTTCTGACATTGCACTGCATATTCTACTTTTCTCCTGGAGGTAGCACCTCAAGGCTTCTCTTTGAAGGAATGAACTAAAACTTCTTCAAAATACTCTATAATAAAGCCTCATATGGGACTGTAGAACAGTCTTGTTATAGGCAGTGTACTTGAGCTAGGATCCCTGGTCACTCAGTTGGAAGAGACAAAGGCTCGATTACCAGTCGCCATGTTCGGGTAGGGGACTCGAAAGAGTGTTGGAAATCGAGCCTAGAGAGGGAAGACAGTGCTCTAGAGTTTCTAGGTACATCTTTATTCAATACAGAGAAACGTTTTTTGTTCTTCTGAAAGGGACAGTTTGCTTTTGAGGTGTTCTTGTTTTTTTAATTAGTCTCTTTTCATGTTACAAGCGCTAGCTGACCAAGAGCCATAATGGGCTCTTGGCTGACACACTCCTAATGGCGATCAATGAATAAAACTTCACTTCAAATTCTCTTTTGGAATATCCAAAAGAAGAAAAAGAACTGGTAAAAGTTCTGCTGAAGAGGTAAATACGTTTGAATGGTAACACCGTGGATTGCGTCCACAGATTTTAATTATAACCAAGAGTAACAAATCATCCCTCCATAACTTGATATAGCGTTTTCACTCACGTGACCAGCAACTATGCAAATTAATTGAAACAAAAGAAAGCTTTTACATAAGAAAGGAATTCTACTCCCACAGCATTTGTTTCGAACACCAACATGGTCGCCGTTTCATCGTTTTGGAACACAATTATGGCCGCCGTGTCGTCGTGTAAAAACGCTGGATGGGAGTTAAAGGGTTAATCGATGTTACGGGCATGTACTTTGATTGTTAGTCTACGGATGCAATACTAAGAGCAAATTAGCATTACTACCAGACGTATTGGATATAACCTCAACTCGATATTACAGGAAAAAGGCACGGACAATTTCATCCATGCTAGGGCTTTCTTCTGGTTTGACTAGTTCTGCTCTCCGTCATCGAGTTCCTGCTTTACACGGAATCATACTCGAAAACAATGCTTGATTCGACCTTTGCCTTGGCTAGCCAGCCAAGTCCCAGTTATGGCCCTTCCACCGAATAAATCACTATCCGATGGCTAAGATTTAACTGATTAAATGGTGAATAGAGTTTACCACCTTTTGAACAACTGGGGCCAGAATGCTTCGAACGACACCCAGGCTCGACATTTATATTTATAGAATTATATCATCTTGCAACATCTATAACAGACATATTCGCAAGCTCCTCACTAAAAACTAAAGCACTACCTACTAGGAAACATAAAAATAAAAATACAATAAATCGAAAGGTGGTAAACATCACACTGAAAAAATGTAGTGAGAGATGGTGGCTTTAGATTTTGCAGTTGAATCCATTGTTAAATAATCAGATGGCAGGCTATTCCAGTCAATGATAGTTCTCGGCCAGAAGCTGTATTTGTACGTGTCACAGGATGGCTGAAGTGGGATAAATTTCAGTTGATGAGATGCTCTGGTTTTTAGGGAAGACTGATGATGTACATAGCAGGGGATATCAATAGCGGCTTGGTTGGTAACACATTTGTACATCAGTGTCAGTCTAGCTACTTGTCTTCTCTTTTCGAGAGTTAGCCAATTTAGTAGCTTTAGGGCGTTGGTTAGGCATCCCTCCTTCCTTGTGTACGTTCTCGTTACGAAGCGTGCTGCCCTGAGTTGGACCTGTTCAAGCCATGATTTCTGATATGCTTTATAAGGGTCCCAAACAGCACAACCATATTCCAACCTTGGTCTCACTAGCGATTTGTAGGCCTGATCTTTACCCTTCTGCGGGCAATGATGCAATTTCCTCTTGACAA